GCAAGAAGTTGGACAAACCAGCCCTTGGCATCGTACTGTACTGTAATCTGTACACATCCCATTAGCCACCCAATAAATTACAAGTTCCGCGACAAGTAGGCAGTTGGCTCTACTCCGTACCTATTATCACAACGTGGGTATAGTTGCTGTGAAAGGTCCAATCCAGAGGGCTTTCTTGAGAAGCAAGACTCGGGAACAATCTCGGAATAATGGTCGAGGTGCGTGCCGATCAAGAACCGAGGCTATGAATAGTCACCCCCGTGAACAGGATTTTGCGCGTGGATAGTTAACCGTATTGGTAATAACAAATACCGGTCTCGCGTAATTCCACTCTCGGCCTCGTCACTGTTCTTGCCAATTGTCCAGACACCAACCGCAACGGAGCCCCCTTAGGATCTTGACAGCTCTCCTACTCCAACTCCCCAGCGAGTCCACGAACAGATCACTGGCTTTTCTGTTCACGAACCCCGGCATCCTCCCGTTCCAACCGGCCAAAACAGATCGGATGGGCCGCCAGGATTGTATCCTTTTCTAATCCCTACCCCGAACTTCCGCCACTCGCTTTTTGTGCCTTGTCATTCTCTTTGATTGCTCGTGTAGAAGGAAAAATACTCTTTGACAGATATCGGTGTGGAATGGATGGGTCTTTTGACTTGGCCTAACAACCCGATATCAAATCCTAGTGTTTCGGATTTCCTTTGAACTGGAACCCAGTTTATACCCCTTTTTCCCCTCCTTAGCTTTTGAAATTTCAAAGGACGAAGCGACTTTCCGCGTCTGTGTGAACCAGAACGTGGTTGACAGACCCCTGCGCCGTGATGAATTCGGTCTCTGGAAAGTACCTACGGTACATTCTATTTGCAGTGCTGGTTAGTTGTTCTCCGTGGTCGATTTGAATCCAGGAAACTGACCTTGGCCTCATCTTTAATTTTCGGTTCGAAAGTGTGTTGCGATTCTACATTTCATATCTTACTCCTCACTACCTCTCCCGAGCACAAGCGATGTCGTGTCCAACCTCAGGTCCGGGTCAAAACAAACCAGCCATAGCCCCTCAACTCATCATTCAGTTTCACCACTTTCCAACACTTCTTCAACTGTTCCAGCACCTGCCTATGAACGAGTAAACGCAACATTCGTGACTTTGGCCAGAAATGGGGATATTTGGGAGATTGCCAAGTCGATCCGCCAGGTGGAGGACCGATTCAACCGGAATTATCACTATGACTGGGTCTTTCTTAATGACGTGCCCTTCAACGACCAATTCATAAAGATAACTACTGCTCTTGTATCGGGGAAAACGCATTATGGAGTCATTCCGAAAGAGCACTGGTCCTTCCCTGACTTTATCGACCAGGCAAAAGCCGCCAAGGTTCGGCAGGATATGAAGGAGAAACAAGTCATCTACGGAGATTCCATCAGCTACAGACACATGTGCCGTTTTGAATCTGGATTCTTTTTCCGCCAGGAGCTCCTCCAGAAATTCGACTACTATTGGCGAGTGGAGCCTAGCATCGAATATTTCTGTGATATCGGTTTCGACCCGTTCAAGTTCATGAAAGACAACAAGAAGAAATATAGCTTTGTTATCAGTCTGTATGAATATAGAGACACCGTAGCTACGATTTGGGATAGCGTCAAGAAATTCATGGAGAAGTACCCTCAGCATATTGCAGAGGACAATAACCTGGAATTCGTCAGCGAGGATGGAGGGAAGACATATAACCTTTGCCATTTTGTGGGTATCCCCCTCCCTCGCCCATGCGTTTGTGACCTCTTTATTAACGAACGTTTTGATCACTTTCTGCAGTGGTCGAATTTCGAAATTGGTGATCTCAACTGGTTGCGATCGCAAGCCTACCTCGATTATTTCGATATCCTAGACAAAGATGGAGGATTTTTCTATGAAAGATGGGGTGATGCGCCTGTGCATTCCATCGCGGCTGCCCTCATGCTCAAAAAGGAGGAAATCCACTTCTTCAATGAGATCGCTTATCGCCATGTTCCCTTCGTCCATTGCCCGACGGGCGAACAGATGAGATTGGATCTGAAATGCCACTGCAATCCCCGTGACAACTTCGACTGGAAAGGATATTCTTGTGAGTGCAAAGTCCAAACAGGGTTACATGCCATCACCATAATTCATAAAATCAATGCATTTCAGTTTTAATCTTCAGTTACTCGCCCTGACGCTATTTTCGTATGCAGGTACATCCCGTTACTTCGACATTAATAAGATGACGAAGCCTAAAGGTTATGAAAAAGAAACGGACTGACCGAACTGGCTTCTCACAATCTTTTGCGGTATCATCGTCCTTACCGTTGTACTAATAGTAGCATTCAAAACTCGACGATTACCCCGCACGCCCAGTGTGTCTAGCACCGAGAGTGAACCGTACAGCAGCATGCCAAAAGGTGGCACATAAGAGACAAAACGAGGTTTGAAAGGGGGGAGAAGGGAAAAAAAAAAAAAAAAAAAAAAAAAAAAAAAGAGAGAGAGAACGGGACATCCAGGCTTCTATCCATCGGCTGCGCACACCTTGGAAAAGATAGCCTAAATCCCATTTTCTCTTCCCCCTCATCCTATATACCTCCATCCTCCGATTCCCCAATCCTGCATTCTCTTATTTCACCCTGATATTTGCCTTTAACCGTCATTATTTCCTTCGCATTTTGATGCCCTCGTGTGCTTCATTCATAAGTTGACATACGTTTTCATACCCCATCCAGGTTGTATAGACATGGGATATTTTGCATTTTCTTGCCCCCTTTGCTTTTATTATTATTTTCTATTCCTTGTCGTTTTCTATTTCCGCTTTTATTGAAATTTCACGGAGTCATGTGGGAAAAATGTACGTTTTCTTATTAAAATATTTTTGCGATTGATTTGACTTTTTCCTCTGCTTCTTATGGGTTGTCAGCCCCATATGAAGCATGTCATGATTTAATAGTTGTATACATCCACACGAAAACCAAGTCATCCATTATAATGATTATATATACAGTTATATATATATATATATTCTCTTTGTCTCTTTGTTTCATTTCATCTCCCAGGAAAGAAGAAATTAAGAGAGAAGTCCATGTTTTACGGAGATTGATGATATTTGTGCAGTACATGTCAAATGGCCCTGTTATTTTATTTTTAATCGTGGTGATCTTGTGTTTTTAAATCGAGAGTTATGCGTCTGGTGCCGAGGAATGAGTAGATATTTGAGAAGTTTTGAAATGAATGGTTCTACTTTTTGTCTTTCTTATTCTCCCAAGATAGGTAAGAGAGCAATAGCGAAGGCCACCAAAACCTGTTAACTTCAATAAGTTCCATAAGTGCTCTCTCATCGGTGCTAGAAGTAGCACATGGGCGGAGGGGGAGAAGACAGAAGTAACTAATGTACACTTTACTAACTCTTGATTGATGGATCAAATCTATGGCAAAATACACGAAGATGCTCGCGCATCACAAAGAATATCAATGGATCTGAATCGTATATTCGGAGTAAGAGAAAAACAAAGCCCCTCACTCCTATCTCTCTTCTTCTCTTTCTAACTTTCCCTCACGTCCTCTCCTCTATCTACCCGAACTGCTTTAAGCACTCTTCGGCTTCTTCGTCCCGTACTTCGAGCGGCTGGTGATACGGTTGCCAACGCCAGACTATTTTGTTATAACAAGAATGGTTGGTTAGCTTTCCCCTTTTTATTGTTTTATCACGCCCGTGCCATAATGACAATGTTTGTCTCTTTATATACATAGGGCACATATAATGGCGAGATGCGAAAATGAAACATACCAAATCCTACGCTCCACGGACAGATGTACCGCACACCAGGACAATCCTGTGCCCGGCCACCTCTAATCAACACGACGCTATGCTGTTGGATGTTGTGTCCTGTATTATTGATTTGGCGGGGACGAGGAGAAAAAAGAATTAGTATTCCCATACATAACGCCACAATAAATGAATAAATATATAGACATAGAATTCCACTCCTCTCTCGGAAATAAAAAGGAACGAAATATTAAAACTGACCTTCGCCTGGGATGTACCCTGTAACAACCGCGCCATTAGTCAACCGGATTCTCGCCGTTTTGCGCTCTCCGGAATTAGGCTTCTTCGGCTTCGTGATTCCAGTCTTCAGACACACGCCTTTCATCTGCGGCCGGCCTACAAGCGCGGGCGAGGTGGTTTTCCTCGCACGCTTGCCCTTCCGACAACCCCGACGGACTTGGTTCAACGTGGCATTTTGGTAGGGAGTGCTGGAGAATTTCCGCGACGATGAAGAGAGGGACGATGGTGTACATATATATTGGACGGATGTCAGTTTACGGCGTAAGGGAGGTGTGGTGTGTGGTGTTCGGTGGAGGAGGGAAAAGGTGCGCTTGGAGGAGGTGGATAGTGGTGAAGAGAGGCAATATGGGCGGGATATAAAGTGTCGTAGGGAACGGATTACCCCCGCGGTGGGCGTTGGCGGTGGCATGCTGAGCCAGTGCTGTGGTTAATTGGCGGTAGAAAGGGCTTTTGAAAGTCCTGGGATGAAGCCTTTGATGCGTGTCCGAAAAGGGAAATTTAGAGGTTGGGATTGAGTTCTGATCACGTGGAAGTGGAATATAACTGCGCTTTTGGTCTATACAGATGGCCGGGGGACCTTGACGCGGTTGCTTTTGCCTGGACGAACAGGTCCAAATGGCTGCCATAAACTCCTTCACATCATCCAATTCCGCTCATTCCAATAACTCTATCTCATATCGCAATTTACTTCATACGTAGTCCCATTCCGCTCCCATTCCACCTCCATCCCAAGTCCCAAATTCCTCCTCCCACCCACTGCCTCATCATGGTATGTCATTCCCACACTTCATCTTAGCTCTCCGCCTACTGCCGTACTGATCTCAAAAACAGCCTCTCCGCATCGCACCCGCCGCGTCCAACGCAACCCAGACCTCAAATACAGCCTCAGTCCCTCACTTAAGCAAAGGTGCCCCATCTGCCCCAGGCGTCCACGACACCCTCCGCGCCTCTCTCACTGCCGCACCAACGACACAGCAGCGAGCCCCCGCTTCTACACACCCGCTCGAAGCTCGTCTGCTACAGTGGCGCCAGACACACGATGCGATGAAGATGGAATCGTTAAGAAGGGTGTATGGCATCGCGGAGCCGATCAGGAGGGGCATGGAATTGAAGATCGTGCAGGAAGGACAGTGGAAGCCAGCTGCATTGGGTGGACGTAACGAGAGTAGTATTCATGCGGATATTTTGGCGCTGGGAGGTAGGGAGACGGAGGTTACGTGGGAGGATGTCTTTGACGGTATGTTTATTTTTCTCTTTTTATCGTCCTTCGGCATGGTATTGTCGGAGATTCCAGATAGTGGACGGGGAGGTTTCTTTGCTAGGATATATCATCACTGGCATGCATTCTTCATTATCTATGCACTGTGGATTTCTCGACTTCTATTTCCGCTATTCACCCCCGATGCGGAAAACATCTAACCGTTTCCATTGTTTACTCTAGGTGACGAACTTCGAGAACCTTCCTCCTTCCATGACGAAATGGAACACCGACTAAAGATGAATTGGTAATACCTTTTCCAGTCAGCGACTGTTTAGCCAAGTTATTATATGTTCTGTCCTTTTCCCATTTCCTTTCGCCCAACGGTTATTTATTTTCCTGTCACGTTTCCAGCTTTTAGAAAATCAAATGCTCAAATAAAGCGAATTGCTCTTAGAATTCTCCCTTTCCTCCTTTTATATATATATAATGTCTTCCGAACATGTTTTCCGTTCTCCGAATTTCATCTCCAAATTAAGAAATAATGGGTTCATCGTAAAAGCCACAAAATGAAGCAGCCAGCTTTAGGCTCCCTTCTCTTCCTTTTTTACTTTTTCTTCTTGACAGGACAAAACAAAAATCAAGATGAGGTAAAATTTCCATTTTTTGATTCTTATCGACAACAAAATCAATGGTGAGCGGGGCAGGAATGGGGAGTTTCGACACGCCTCGAATGACACATGCCCATTTTACATCGACTAAGGTATATATATATATAACTTATCCTTATGTTATCCTTATGCCACACAGTTACCCTACGCCGCCTTGCTCCCTCTCTCTATCTATCTATACCCTGCCAACGCGAAAGCCACCCACCCCCCATTGACACTTCACAGCCGGTTTAAAGAATTAGAAATTTCTCTGCCCCCTAGAAGTACCCGGCGCACGCACTCAAAACCCTTGATGAGAAGGATAGGGGAAGGAATTTTATCCCCAACCCAATCCCTGTCCTCCTTTTCCAATCAATGAATGGGTGTAACTAGTTGTAGTTGTAGGGCAGTGCAGTGCAGTTGCTCAGGCAGCATATGCTGTGTATATAAAAGCTATACAATACAATACATCACCCATCTCTTGACTTATCCATCCCTCTACCCATCCCACATGAAGGAAGGCCGATATACAAATACACACAGAGAAACGCGTACAATTGGATATAATTGTGTATATACAATGTACATGCACTGTACAACATAAATACCCGCAATTCAAACCGGTAAAATCCATTCATCCCATATATATATATACCTATAAAGTGTTGGTTACGCACACACACTATGTATGTACAGATAATGCAACAAAGAGGAGAAAAACAAAACAACGCAGACATGTGTCTCCCTCCCACCCTCACTTTCGACTTCACCTTTAGCAATAGTCCCTCCACACCCTTAATCTCATCGGCCATTATGCGAAAAAAGCAAAGGCTGCTGCGAACAGAGAAAGGCGGTAAGATGAAATTGAGAAGGGGCGGAACATGGAAACTTAGTTCCGTGGATGGCAGGAGAAAAGGAATTCAACCGACCCATTCAATATATATATGTATATATACCACTAGCCGCGGTGATGATAAGAATACTAATGGTAATAATGGTAGTGACAATGATCAAGAACAAGCGAGAAAAGAAAATGACGTGTATTGAAAGCAATGGGTACACAAAATGAAACATCAAGGGAGGAGCCAGAGGAAAAAACAATATGACCCGTTTACTCAACCCTTCCCTAACCCTAACGTCTTATATAAGGTTCGATTCGTAGCAGAAAAGAGATAAGACGGGGGAAAGAAAAATAACGGTAAAACAAAAACAACCAGTCCCTACACCTGCCGTGTATGCATTGAACAAAAAGGAAATCACAAAGACAGCAAATATCAAAGGAAAATGGAAAAAGGGAAGGAAGCAATGTATTCATAACCAAAAGTGTGGAAAGGGGATTGCGGATAAAATGGGGTACTTTCTAAAAAAAAAAAGGGAAAGAGACATGTCAAATGTCGAATTGGCAGCCGGAAAAATTAAAATAATCGAGACAGAAAGTGCCTAGGCGCAAGTTGCAAAAGATATTGAAGCGGAGTTCAGCAGAAAATCCGGCTGCAAGATGGCTCTAAGAAAGTGGAAAGCACAAGTTGCGGGTAGACCAATGAGGTATAGATACTGCAATAGACAACACCAGCAACAATAACAGCCAAGGGATGGGATATTATCGAAAGAGACAGGACTGATAAGAGGCCTGGTGTTGACATGAATGGCTGGGGACGAGCCAGTACAGTGATGCCGAAATACGGTAATTGGGCTTCTTCCGACAAGCTGCCAGGTGCATGGGGCCACAACAATAGTATACTCGGGACGGCCGGGATGAAGATAAATGAATATCGCAACAAATTCGGAGGAAGAGAGGAAATGAAAGTAAGCCCGGATTGCAGTTTCTTTGTCGCCCGTCTGAGAGTAGAAAAAATACCTCAGGTTCTATGAGAGGGAGTAGAGTACAGTCGCATACAGCCTACAGGATAATACACCTGCATCGGGGGCTATAATCACCGCCATCCCGCTCCCGGCCGGAAGTGGATCTGGTGGCTTTGGCGTCTTCTTCGTCCACGACTTCTCGTGGCTTTATGGTCATGTGGATGACGTTGGGAGCGTTGTGAGTTAATCTCAAATCTGTGACATAATGAGCGGAAGTGAAACGGGTTTGCTTTTGGAGGACAAGAACGGAGTTGGATTTCTGAGCAGCGCTAGAAATCCAGTATAAAGACATTCAAAGCTGGGGGATTAAAAAGAAACATACCGGATAGCGGAGCTTTGTCATCCAATAATTTTCCGAATGATATCAAACGTATTGAACTTGGGAAGGGAGGTCGAGGTTCCCACTCTGCAATTCAATAAAATATCGTAATTTGTCAGTTCACATTACCCCCCAGAACAAGCGCGAGAAGGAACAGGGGGTGGTCGCGTGCTCTCCATTGCAGGAAAAAGAAAAAAAAAATCGCCGCGGGAGACATACCAGATCTCCACTCCCTCCAAATCAGTTCTTTCAGAGTATATACGCTCATCGCATAGGGATTGAAATCGGGTACATCCACCTGCCGTTTTCGCAGGTACTTCGCATCAATCTTGAATGGATGTCTGGCTCCGGTTATCAGAAGAAGGTCTATATTCAACACCATGCCGGGATCCTCCAATTCTTTACCCGTCGCGCCTGGTAGCTCCGACGAGGGACCAACGGCAGGGCTGCATTGCTTAGTTTCTTCGGTCTCACTGGTAGGTTGTGTGGCGGACTGTATTTGCTGTGGGGGAGGCTCTGTGTTAGTGGTGGTAGTCGGCGCGGATTGGGAAGCGGTGGCATCATGAGGCTGAGATGTCGGTGAAGGGGGCGTATTTTCTCTAATCGTGGTGCTCGTGATTGGGGGCTCTGAAGGTTCAGCGGATTCTATTGTGGCGGGGGGATGCGACGAATCTGTCACAGCGGGGTCGGATGAAGATGTAGCGGTGGCATCAGTAGTGTTGTTGTTGTTGTTGTTGTTGTTGTTGTTGTTGTTGTTGTTGTTGTTGTTGCTGCTGCTGCCTCTGTTGTTGTCGTCGTCATCATGGCGAACCGGTGCTGGGGGAGGAGCGTTCGTCGCCGTCATCGCCGTCGAGTTAGGGGAATCTCGTTGTGTCGACGGTGTATCTGATATCGGCAGAGCTAGCGGCCTCTGTATTTTCTCGGCATCTTCTTGCTGGGATTGTGAATTGGAATCATGGATTGGGATAGGGGTGCCGGCACTTGAGGCCATGGTCAAAGGGGAAGCTGAGATTCTTGAACACCAGCAATCGAACCGGTGGAAGGTCTAACTCTGCGGATGCCAGATGAAATGGAATAGTTAACCTGAAAGCACAAAAACTGAGGTAAGGATTGACAAAGCCAGGAAATGAGGCCGAAAAAGAGTGTGGGCAGATGTGTTCCCTCGAAGCAAGAAGGCTTATCGGGGACGGAACATGGCAGACAGACGGGAGAAGGACAGGGCGGAGGAATGGATGGCGAGATGGGACAGCAGGGGAGAGCATCAAAAGGCAGTCTGCTCGCTCAGTCGACTGGCCTGGGATGGAGATAGCTGGGCTGGCAGTTGGTGTTGCAGAAGTTGGCAGCGAAGACGGCAGATGGAGATGGGTGCAGTTCAGCCTCCGTGGGTGAGTGGAGAGTGTGGGAGAAGACAAGACAAGACATGGAACAGTCGGCAGAACAGACTCTGGGTGCTTGGGCAGGGGCAAACTGGGTGGACTGGGTGGCTGCGGCTGGCCATAATGGTTGGGCCCGGGCCCAGGCTGCAAGGAAGCCTATTTTCCCTTCGCTTTAACTGGGGCGCCCCCCACCAGCATCCCCGATCTCTAGTTAAATGGCTCGTTTAGCGCCACCACCATGCTAACATAGCACAGTCCTGTGGCTGAATCCCTATTTCTTTGCAACCCTCTAATCAGACAATAATTAAGTTAGCGAGCAAATGAATATCAAAAATCCTCCCACCTGTCTGTGTAACAGATATGAAAATAAATATGAAAATATGATGGATACAAAAGCCAAAAATGGGAGGACTTTATTATTACTTTTTTAAAACGAACACTATTTGAAAAGGAAAAAGAAAACCCTCGTCGATCTCCGCCCGTTAAGGGATCATCATCTCGCTCCTCTGCCCCGCACAAGCAGTGCGACCATTGCGATGGCAGCATGTCATTACACCCGACATACACATGCATCCTTGTCAATCCTTTCTGAAGACTACGGCGTAGAAGAAGAGATCCATAATCCATGCGCTAGGAAAAAAAGTTTAAAAAGGCCAAAAACTTTTTTTTCCCTTTCGCCTCCCACGTGTTCCTGCAACAGGACCTCAAACATTAGGTTGCTAGTTGTGATCAGCTTCTACACGACAACGAGCTCATTTTCAGGGTGATAAAGAGAAAACGGTAAGATAAGATGAGAAAGGAGAAATGAAAGGGGGAGAGGAGGCGGGGGAGGGCTGGAAAATGCAACATATACTCATACTGGATATCATAACAATGAAGCAAAGACAATCCACTCCAGAACCCCAGGCTCAAATCCCCGTGAAAACTGACAAATCACTTCAAACTTTCAAACTTCGGCATGAAAAGGGAATAAACAAATAAGTTTTCTTTTTCACGGAAAAAATGTGCCAAACCAACTAGAATACGGAACTAACAGAACGCCACGGGGAAGGTAGCGGGAAGCATAGCAAAGGAAAAAAGAAATATGCAGCAGAAAGAATGTTACTCTTTTGTCACGACATCCACGCAAAATAATGCGCCGGATTCTCATTCCTCAACCCTTCAGAACCATGCGCCACGCCCAGCAACCTCACCCTCTCAATCCTGCCGCCAAAATCATCCTCGACGGAGCTCTTCCACGTCCGCAGGAACGCGCGCAGCCTATCTACCACCGCCGCATCGTCCCGCACCAGCAATGCAACGGCATCATACCCGCCAGCCCCGGGGACAACGCCGCCTATCACCCCTTCAACCTCCGCAGATAACCTATCCAGCAACTCTGTCTGCACCTTTGGCTCGATGGGCACGCCGCTTTTCTCTGTCATGGTGCGCAGTAGCGCGCGAGAGCGGGAGATGAGTCTGCTGACGCCGTCGAATCTATTTCCGTCATTGTCGTCGTCGCCGTCGTCATCATCGTCGACGACGTCGTTGATGTTCGCGGTATTCGCATGCTGATGACCCCGCGAGACCGCGGATGACGATGATGACGATGAAGAAGGGCGGTGGACAGCCGCGGCACGGCTGTGGCTGTTATTAGGGGCATTACGGTGCAGTAGGTCTTTCAGCAGCAGACGCAATCTATCGTTGTTTTGCTGCAACTCCGCCCAGAGCACGTCTGCCTCCTCCCGGTTATTCTCGCGCCACTGGAGGACTTGTTTCACCATCCCTGGCGTTTGCGAGCCGCAGTCCACATCGCATAGCACCATCTGCATGCCCCGAGGCAGCTTGGTGCCAAAGTCAACACACTCCGTATCCCATGGGTGCTTTGTGTTGAGGTCTTCAACGACGGCGAAAAGCCGTTCTTCGAACTGCGGGGTCCCGACGTCCCCCAAACTTCCAAGTACAGCGGGGGAGAAACGTCGGTAAAGACACGAGCCGTACACGGCAGCGCCAATGTCGAACCCCGAACCGACTTTCCCCTGTGCGGCGCAATGGGCGGCTTGGGCGAGATTATGTAGCTTATCTCGCACTGTAGGTAGTTCCTCTGGTTGTACGGTGCGGTGGATGACGATGGCGGAAACGAGCGCTGCGACGAGCGCGGCAGATGAGCCTAGACCGGTCTTGTGCGCTTCATCCAGCTTGACGCCAAAGTCTGCGAAGCGCGTTCCTCTGTTGGCGCCCGGTGCTTGTGAGGTCGCGGTTTGGGAGTAGTAGTCATTGTCTGCGACGATGGTGATGGAGAGGGAGCCGAAGAGTTTGGATGCGGAAACGTAGCTTATGTATGTTAAGGCGTAGTTTAA